AAATGCAAGCTGGATTCAGAAGAGGACCTGGAATGAGGGATATCATTGCTGATGTCAGATGGATTTTGGCTCAAAGCAAAGAATACCAGAAAGATGTTTACTTGTGTTTTATTGACTATGCAAAAGCATTTGATTGTGTGAATCGTAACAAATTGCGGATAACACTGAGAAGAATGGGAATTCCAGGACACTTCATTGTACTCATGAGGAACCTGTACATAGACCAGGAGGCTGTTGTTCGAATAGAACAAGGGGACACTGCATAGTTTAAAATCAAGGAGGGAGTGTGTCAGGGTTGTAACCTTTCACCATACTTCTTCAATCTATATGCTGAGCAAATAATCCGAGAAGCTGGACTATATGAAGGAGAACATGGCACCAGGATTGGCGGAAGATTCATTAACAGCCTGTGATATGCTGATGACACAACTTTGCTTGCTGAAAGTGAGGATGACTCGAAGCACTTACTGATGAAGATTGAAGAATACAGTCTGCAGTATGGATTACATCTCAATATAAAGAAAACAACAATCCTTACAACTGGACCTATAAGCAGCATGGTAATAAATGGAGAGAAGATTGAAGTTGTCAGAGACTTCACATTGCTTGGTTTTACAATTGACGCCAATGGAAGCAGCAGTTAGAACATCAGATGATGTATAGCACTGGGTAAATCGGCTGCAAAGGAGCGAAGATGTCTCCTTGAGGACTAAGATGCAACTGACCATGATATTTTCAATTGCCTCATATGCATATGAGAGCTGGACAATGAATAAGGAAGACTGAAGAATTGATGCTTTTGAGTTGTGCTGGCGAAGAATGCTGAAAGTATCATGGACTGCTAAAATAACTAACAAATATGTCCTGGAGGAAGTGCAGCCTTAATGCTCCTTGGTAGGGAGAATGGCCATCATTCATCTCACCTACTTTGTGTTCAGAAGGGACTATTCCCTGGAGAATAGTCATGCTTGGTAAGGTGGAGGGTTGACAAAAGAGGGGAAGGCCCTCAAGGAGATAGATTGACACAGTGGCTGCAGTGATGGGCTCAAGTATAGCAAGGATCATGGAGCTGGCGTGGGACTGGGTAGTGTTTCATTCTGCTGTTCATAAGGTTGCTATGAGTTGGAGACAACTTGATGACACCTAACTGCAACAACTGTATTGATAGGATGTATAATGACATTTTTTGTTTTCACCAAAAATACATTACTGTACCATTTTGAAGTGAGAACAATGCATTTGAGTGTTCTGTTGAATACTTTTTTTAAAAAAATTTGTGTTTATTTATTTATTTTTTAAATTGTGATTTGGGTGAAAATTTCCAGAGCAGATTTACTTGGTTAGTGTTTCTTGATACAGTGATATAAAGTTCTAGTTGATTCATTTTTTCCCACCAGATACTGGTTTTACCTTACAAAGATGTAAATCCAAATGGAAGTAAAGCAGCAATTAATCGCACTTAATAAATCTTGGTATTTTTCAGTCTCACTAATTAATGCATGGGATTTTGTTGATGTTTATTAGCAACTTTTCATGTACTCTACAAGTTAATCAGGTGTTACATTTTTATGTTTTTAATAAAAGCATGGTCGTGTCATCCCTCTGCTCAGAGTCCTATGGCTTCTTATTTCTTTAGAAATAAGAGCCACAGTTCTTATAATGTCCTGCTTTCCCCTGAGCCCTCACCCTATGCCCCTTGCCTCTCTGGCCAGCTCTTGGACTGTTTCATTCTCATACTGCTTCAACCACACTGCTCTTAGCTGTTCCTTGACATTGTAGGCACATTTTGTTGTAAAGCTTTTACATTGCCTATTCAATTCATTTTGCCTGGAACACTATCCACTTCCTTGCTTCTAACCACCCCCCTGTATCTGCTTAACTAACTTTGTTATCCTTTTCAAACTGCTCAAATGTCTACTCAATGAATTCACCTCTGACCACACTATTAAAATTTCATGCCCCAAATTTCTGAATTTTCTCCATAATACTTATTCCCCTTTAAATTCTAAATAACTTATTTATGTACCTATACTAGTGATGGCCTCCTGTAGCATATTGGATATTTATGGATTCAGATTCTTTGCCATAACAGCTTGCCTATCTATGAATGTTGCGGTGAATAAATTTAATATGTGGTGCTAGTTTTCTTTCCTTTTTTTTTTATTTCTTATATTACCCAGTCATTTTTAAGGAGAGTGTTACTCAGTTTCTATGTGTTTGCTCCTTTCCCTTTGATCTTCCTATTGTTGATTTCTAATTTTATAGCATTGTTATCTAGGATGCTTTGACGTATTTCAGTGTTTTAAAATTTATTGAGGCTTGCTTTGTGGCCTAACATATGGTCCATCCTGGAGAATGTTCCGTGTACACTGGAAAAGAACGTATATTGTGCTGTTTTGGGTAAAGTTATTGTTGTTACTTGCTGTCGAGTCAGCCCTGACTCATAGCGACCCCTCCTTGGGTTTCCGAGGCATTATCACTATGGAAGTAGTATTGCCCAGCCTTCCTTCCAAGGTGTAGCTGGTGGGTTTGAACTGCCAGCCTTCTGGTTAGCAGTCAAGTGTCTTAGGCACTATGCTACTAGAGCTCCTTGTTGGGTAAAGTACTCTGTAAATATCTATAAGGTCAAGTTGGTTGATTGTATTGTTTAGTTCTTCCACTTCTTTGTTGAGTTTCTTTAAATTCTGGTCTTTCATTGAAAGCAGTGTATTAAAGTCTCCTATTATTACTGTGGCATCATCTAAACAGATGATGTTTTTCATTTCTTTTCAATTCTGTTAAAGTCTGATAAATGTTTTTTAGGGATTTTTCATTGGGTACATAGGTATTTATTATTGTTATTTCCTTGTTCAATTGATCCTTTAATCACTATATAATATCCTTCCTTGTCTCTTACGGTGGTTTTTGTCTTAAAGTCAATTTTATGAGAAATTAATGTTGCCACTCCTGCTCATTTTTGATTGCCATTTGCTTGATATATCTTTTTCCAACTAATTTTCTTTTTTAATCTCATTTTTATCCTAGTCAAAGGAGCAAACTGCTCTCCATCAATAATTCCATTTACATTGTTTTTCCATATTAAAGAGATCATTTACTATTAAAGATATCTTTGTGGTTCACAAAAAGGTAGTTCTTTGTGTCTTTCACTATTATTGATTCAGAATCCTGTAAGCTCTGTAACACAAAGCATATTAGAAATTCCATTGTGTAGTTGGTTCTGATACTTGCTTAACTCCTGCAGCATTGTTTTCTACATGTACTCAATAAGTATTTCCTGACAAAAGAATATAATGTAGCTTCTTGCCTCATTTTTTTCCCATATGGACAGAAAAGCATAGATTTTTTTTTTTTTTTTGTCTTTCACTTTTTTTTCCCCCTTTTTAACTTTTTATTGTGATTTTGGGTGAAATTTTACAAAGCAGTTTCATTTTACTTGTCTTTCCCTATTAAAGAAGAAACTTTAAGATTTCTTTCCAGAGTGTTTGGATTGTAAAAGGTTCGATAAGTATGGTATGATTTTAAAAATTCACTGTACTAATTTTAACAATATGTCTTTGTGTTTAAAACATTTTGCTAATTGAAATAGTTTTTCTTCTTTTAACTGTCATTAGCTAATACCACAATGCATAAAATATACATAGAACAAGAATTGTTGTTGTTGTTATTATATGTTGTCGAGTTGGACCCAACTCATAGCAACCCATCCTTGGGCTTCTGAGGCGGTATCACTACGGAACTAGATTGCCCAACCTTCCTTCCGAGGAGTGGCTGGTGGGTTTGAACCACTAGCCTTCTGGTTAGCAGTCAAGTGCCTTAGGCACTACGCTACCAGAATAGTATATGTAAATTCATATTTCAAATGGTTTTTAATTTTTTGGCCTCCTTGTCAGGTCTGATGGAGTTAGCATTTTTTAACCCCATATATGGTTAATGTGGGAAGTGAAGTGTCAGCTCTGCAGTTTTCTTAATCTCTGTGTGTTCTCTGATTATCTTCTATCTGCAGGTGTTTTGTTATTTTGCAAAAATCTTGTAAGCTACCACTTTTGCATTTTGTTAGGTTGTTTTCTTTTAAACTAGGTAATATCTGTCAGTCTGCTTAATTGAGCATTCAAAGCAAATGTATGTCAGGCTATGCTGAAATGACAAAATGAATGAGGGCCTGACTGTCCTTCCCTTCCGTAGTATGGAGCTGTCAGTATTCATTTTGGGTAGCTCCAAGATAAGACAGTAATTCTGCCAGATGGGTAAGTGACAGTTCATCAATGTCAGTCCTTTTAAATATACTAAAGCTTAATTTTTAATTCTTAAGTGAAATATAAATGGAAGATCTAATATTTACTTTCCAAGCCACAATGGATCATTTTAGGGGCATCCTACCTTGAGATAACTGGTGAACAAGAACAAGGCTTAAAGAGTTATTTCAGCCTAATGTAGAGGGTACTGAACTCCCCGCTCCCCCAGTTAACTTGAAAATATACCCACAGATCTCTAAATTTCTTTTCCTTTTTCACTTTGTGTCTGTGTTTGCTCTATAAAAGAAAATAGCCTATGTAAAAAATTAACTGAGTTCCGCATAGGCTCTATGGCAAGCTATTACAATACATTGGTTTAATGTAGAACAAAAATATGCTTTGGGTTCTCCAAACTCTTCATTAGCCTGAGTATAAAATATTTTTAATCATTACTAAGAACTTTTCCTTTCATGCATATTTTTAAATTAGTATTTCCATTTAACTTAAAATGCCTCTTTAAAGTTATTCATAAATATTCTTTCTTTGAATCTACTATGTATTCACAACATTCTCACAGCTCACAAGTGGTTTATTGAGGTCTGGCATCTTGGCACTTTCAACTGTAAGAGATCCTGGATAGAGAGGGAGAACAGTGTGGACAAAACTCAAAATCATTTGGAGAAGAAAAAAGGGGGGAGGACCAGGTTTGCTTATAACCAGTGTAAGGCTATGGACAGAAATTAATGAACTTTTTCTTTTTCACTATAGATGAAGTAGGGGAAGATAATGGCCCTGATGTAACTGCTACCGAATTAGATCCCTTTATGACAAGTTCATCTGAAAGTGAGAGGTTTGCTTCTGAGTCAAGTAGAAGCCTAACAGAAGAGCAACAACAAAGAATTGAGAGAAATAAACAGCTGGCCTTGGAAAGAAGGCAGGCAAAGCTACTGAGTAACAGTCAGTCCCTTGGAAATGGTACGTTTTATGTACTTCCATTAATATACCCAGGGCCTGTTGAAAATTTTAACTTCTCTACTGTCCTCCAGAATAAAACACATCTAGGAATAGGAAAATGTGATATAGTATATTAAATTTATGTATATTAGAGATAAATTGTGTTTAGCTGCTTGGAATCCACAAAGAATAGTAAGTACAAGAAGTTTTTTTTTCTGGCTGAGTACTTATTAAAAATTATATTAATCATTTAAAATTGATTCTAAAGACTTCAAAAATACATTCTTTCTGACTTCTTAAAGCATGTGACACATAATTTCCTCTTTAGGATTATAATTATGAATATTAATTATTATGATACTGTCCTAAACATGTAAAATGCCTTCTCCACCCATTCAGGATTTTAGAGCCCTGTCTTGCTTCTCTAGTGCTGCTATAACAGAAATACCACAAATGGATGGCTTTAACAAACAGGGATGTATATACTCTTATGGTTTTAAAAGCTAGAAGTACAAGTTCAAAGTGCTGGCCCTAGGGGGGCTGGGTGAAGGTCCCTTGACCTTGGGGTTTCAGCTCTGCCTCCTGTTCCAGCCTGACTAGAGCTGGAGGCTTTTTCTGACTCATGCAGCTGTGAGGCTGATGAACCCAGATCGATAGGTAAAATGGCACAGTCCGAAGATGGGCAGGCAACACGGCAGGCCTAGGCTTGGCCAAGTGCAGGGTCCAGGTGTGCCAAAAGCTAGAGACCTTTCTCAAAGCTTCTCCTGATATACTGAAAGGAGGTCATATCCCAAAGGCAGTTAACTGCTGCTCACAGCAGATTCCACCATGGAGGTGATTACAGTCTCCCATGGGGATAACTACATCCAGCTGCCCAGCCATTCAAAACCATGGTCTAGCCAAGTTGACATAAAACCTTAGCTACCACAAGGCCTGAACTGCTTTTTAGAGCAGTTGTCACTTCTGTTGTGAGCTGTCACTTTTGGAGGTTGTTGGTGTGCTTGTCAGTAGCATCTCCTCTCCCATTTAAAAATGCCTTAAAGTTATTTTTAAAAACAGATTGGGTTTGGAAACTAGATAACCAAGTTTGTTAAAACTTTATTTTAAAATACTAATTTGTTTTGAATTAAGTGAGCAGGATTGCATATAAAATCTTTAATTTCTAATCAAGTTTTTCCTTTTAAAATGGAAAAATAAGAATTATAGGAAGTAATAAGAGATCATATTGCAAAACATGTTTCACCCAAGATAATAAAATTCTGAAGTGAAAATTACTCAATGTGACTAAATTACTATGATTTTTTTCAATTAAAATGAATTTAATTTTTATCTTTACAAGTAGGTATTATATTAGTACTGTGAAGTTACATAAAGATAAAAATATTGTACAGTGGCTTCCTTGATGTCATTCTCAAAGTATACCTAGCAGTGAGAATTAAGGCTCATCTTCTTTTTATGATGAAGGAGCTCTGGTGACACAGTGGTTAAAGCATTCAGCTGCTAACCAAAAGGTCAGGTGTTTGAACCCACCAGCCACTTCATGAGAGAAAAGATGAAGCAGTCTGCTTCCCTAAAGATTTACAGCATTGGAAATTCTGTGGGGCAGTTCTACTCTGTCCTATTGGGTCACTGTGAGTTGTAGTTGACTCGACGGCAGTGGGTTTGTTTTTCTATTTATATGACTTTAAAATTTGTCCAAATGGAAACAAATGTCTTCGGGGTTTTTTTTTTTTAATTTTATTTTACTATAGATCATTTTGATTTGATATACAGCTGCTAAGTGTTTTTGATTTTCTTTAAAAAATTGTCATAATTAACGTTAAGTGATGTTAGATTCATTGCTATTGACCTTAGCCTATGGATTTGTATTTCTCAGATAAGATTGGATCAGGTGTTTCTACTGGGTAATAATGATCTCTCTTTCAGACTTGTTAATGGACACACCCAGGGCACAGACAGTTGGAGAAGTTAATATAAGTGAAGATCAGAAAGAGGAGGAGTCAAATGGATTAAATGAAGACATTTTAGAAATTACATATAGTGATGCTGCCAATACTGTAATTATAGAAGAGGACTTAAAATTGGAGAAAATGCAACTGGAACAGTCCTTTGAAAATGTGTAGTAACTTTATGCTGCACCCTTGCAGTGATGTTACTGATGTTGGATAGGCCTCAACCAAGAGGGAAAATGTATCTATTAATTGCTGTTCTCCCTGTTTGGGGTTACTGTGTATTTTGCCTTACCTAGTGACACTTTTGTAGGTTCCTGTTTAAAATCTGGTATTTATTCCAGTATTTATTTATGTTTGTCATTTACTTATTAAGTCTGTTTATTTTTACATACATGAATGTGACTTCATAAAATGATTAGTAGTTATTAAGCAGCTTCTGCTGCTAGTATGCCATTGAATGCATTGTTTTCACTAAATCGTGATATTTTAAGATGTAAATATATTGACTACTGTCCATTTTTTGAAGTAAAAATTGTTTTATAAAATCTATAGGCTTTATGAAAATTTCTTACTATGTATTTACATGTATTTTGAGGAGTCATTTTTATAATTAAAGGGTTGTATAAGAGACATGTATTGTCTGATCATATAGATACAAATACAGAACTATTAAGAATAAGGCACTGCTCTCTCCAGCTGATTAGGTGGAGAGAAATTTGCAAAGTGCCATGGGGAATACAGAAGACTTAGATAAGATTCACAGCAAAGACCTTTGAGTTGGCAGAGGAAATTCCAAGTATTAGGAAAACACGTACAATAGTGACACAGAAATGAAGAGTTAGGAGATAAGAAAGATTTGAGAATGGTGAATATGAGTCTACAGGTATTTTTTAGGGCTGGATGGTGGGAAGAGTCCTTCCCCTGCCTGAGTTTATTAACTTGGTGGAGGGAGTAATTACAGAGGAGAAAGCACCTTGTTGACAACCAAGTTCAAAAAAGGTTGGTTCTTGGCAAGAGATTTTTTTAATTGTGATTTGGGTGAAAATTTAGAGAGCAAATTCACTTTCCATACAGCAGTTCACATACACTTTGTCTCATGACATTGACCACAGTTTACCACAATGCAACATCTCCCCTCCCACTTCTGACAGTTACCTCTTCTGTGTGTCCATCCCTCCATGCACTCCTGCCCCCTGAGCTGTCTCCCGGTGCATAAACAGCCCTTCTTTCTCCCATGATTGTTCTTTCCAAGGAGTGTATCTGTTGTGGTTATGTGCCGTCAAGTCGGACCTGACTCATAGCGACCCTTCTTTGGGTTTCCAAGGTGGTATCACTACGGAAGTAGATTGTTCAACCTTCCTTCCGAGGAGTGGCTGGTGGGTTTGAAGTGCCAACCTTGTGGTTAGCAGTCAAATGCCTTAGGCACTATGCTACCAGAGCTCTCAGAAGTGTATCTACCTCAGGTAAATGTTCAACTCATATGCCTGTCTTGTTTGGGTGGAAGCCTTGGCAAGAGTTAGGTCTAGGAGGGGAATGTTAAACTAGTTTTTATATCCTAGACTGGGAAGAAGGGTACCTTTTGTGAGAAAGACTAGTCTTTGTAACTAAATTTAGTGTTTTCCTTGGGGAAAAGCTGAGTGATGATGCTAAAGTGGCTTCCATCCACAAAGCAGGGCCAGGCAGGCATCTTGTTCTTTTCTGGCTTGGCTGACTTAAGGTAGGGATTTAAAATAAAACCAAACTCACTGCCATCGAATCGATCTGATGCATAGTGACCCCTCCGTGGGTTTCCGAGGCGGTATCACTACTAAAGTAGATTGCCCAGTCTTCCTTCTGAGGAGTGGCTGGTGGGTTTGAACTACCAGCCTTCCGGTTAGCAGTCAGATGCCTTAGGCTACCAGAGCTTCCTCAGGTAGGTATGGAGGGGTGACATAATTGGTTTGGTTAAACAGCTAGGAAGTTGAGCACAAGGAACATGGGATGAGGGGTGGGCTTGCCAGAGACTGCCCTAGTGATGGGCAAAAAGGCATGTGCAGCAGAAGATTATGGTTTGTTGCAGCCTGTAAGGGTCAGCTAGGAAACAGCTTTTAGCCTGTAGGTACACCAATGTTTAGAGAAACTGCTTGGGATTATTTCTCCTCAGTAGGGTCTGTTCAGGTTTCTGCTCAAAAACTGGATTAGAGGGGATGACTAAGAATAAGGAGAGCTATCTATCCAGTTGGTAGGTTTAGTGGCAAAGTAACAACAGTTTCCAACAAGAGAAAGGCTGATTCACCTTGGGCCTCAGCCTCGTATCATACAAGGAATACTCAAGAAAATGGGTAGTAGGAATAGAGTTTTGAGAGAAAGCTCATTTGTTATTCCCAAGCCGCTCCCTGTGCCCTATCCCAGTTGGTGCTGGGGAGGAGGCTTTGAGTCAAATATGAAATCGTCTAAAAGTGGGTAATTGGACAGGACTAAGTCCTATTTGAAAGTGACTGAAAAGTCAATTTGACTAATGTCAGAGGGGCCTATAACCCAAATGGCCCGGTGTGGCAATTATTTATTTATAAAGAAAATTTATTTATAAAGAACTAACTTTAGACAAGACAACCAAAAATTAATTCTGGGTTTACTCAAAAGCAGCTGGCAATGTGGTTCTCAGAGCTACCATTACTATATACCAAAAACCAAAACCAAACTCACTGTCATCTAGTCAATTCTCATACCAACCCCCATTGAGTTTCCAAGGCTGGAAATCTTTATGGAAGCAGGCTGCCTCATCTGTGGAGTAGTGGGAGGTTTGAGCCACTGACCTTGTGGTTACCATCCAAATGCCTTAACCACTATACCACCAGAGCTCCTACTATATAGTACCATATACTATTATTCAATACTGAGAAATCAGTTTCCATAGTGACCTCATTACACTTCAAAGTAATTTTAATTACGAGAACATTTTACATATATAAAATATCTACCCAATCCTGATTGACTATAACACTGGGTGACACACAAAATTAGGTGTTGAAGAGAAGGTAAAACATTCACAGAAGATAAAGCTCCTTTAATGAAATAAGGGAGTATTTCACATTCTGTCACTGCTTGAAACATCCAGGAGAGCTAGGTCCCTTATCTCCTCAAGAAGCATGTACAGGCTTCTTCCCTTTGTTTGGCAGTATTCTTCATATTCTTCCTGAATGGTGTTTACTTTGCCTTCTTGGGCAAGCTGAGCTTCCTCCACAGATCTAGTTACTTCTTTCACTAACTCACTCTTCAGCAGGAGGGGCCCGTGATGAGAAAGTTCTGTGTCTGCTGTCATGTATGGTTTGTTGCTTATTATTTCAAGCCTGATTGTATCAGAATGGCAACGTGAGGCCTGTACAGATATTCTTACCTATCATAAAGGAGAAAATGCATATTAGGAAGTCACATATTTTGTTCTTTTCACAGGAAACAATACTTAATATAAATACAGACTTACTGTCACATGGTCAAACAAATGGAATGTTACAGAGTCCCCTCCAGTTGTGGTAGAGGTAATTTTGTTTTGAAATCGTTGAAGGGATCCTGGTTTCCATTCAGAAAGGCTATCTGGGCCACATGAGATCACTAAACCATCTTTATTTTTCAGGTAAGCAGCACCTTTAATCCCAAACCTGAATCATTAACAGAATAAAAATCCAGAGGTAAGTCGTTTTAGTATGCAGATCTTGTACACTTAACCTATAATGCTAGTTTTTTTTCTAAATTAAAAGCAAATCTTTTGTCCTGTGATTTTGCTTCAAAAATTTCAGCTGAGTAGATAGATATAAACAAATTTGGAATATATGAAAGTAAAATCCTATCCTAAAACTGATGAGTGATAGTCACAGGGGACATCAAACTCAATTGGCATAACATACTACACAAAACATTGTTCCACTTCCTACTTTGGCAAGTAGCAACTGGGATCTCAAAAGCTTGCAAGCTGCCATCTAGATGCAACGATGGGTCTCTCCTCGTCCAGAGCAAAGAATAATGAAGAAAACCAAAAATTCATGGATACAATCAGTCCTAGTGACTAGTACACCATCCAGTCTGCAGCCTATATGACTATGAGACCAGAAGAACTAGATGGTGCCTAGCTACCAATGTCAACCATTTGGAAGGGGATCTATGTAGGAGATCCTGGATAGAGAGGGAGAACAATGTGGACAAAACTCAAAATCATTTGGAGAAAAAAAAAGGGGGGGACCAGGTTTGCTGGTCCGATAAGAGACTGGTGGAACCACTGAGACTATGGCTCCTAGCTGCCCATCAGGTCTGGAACTGAACCCACACCTGTGGCTTCCAGCCAAGCAAAAGACAAGCATATGAGTTGAACATTTACCTGAGATAGATACACTCCTTGGAGAGAACAATCATAGGAGAAAGAAGGGCTGCATACGTACCAGGAGACAGCTCAGGGGGCAGGAGGACATGGAGGGATGGACACAGGAAAGAGGTAACTGTCGGAAGTGGGAGGGGAGCTATTGCATTATGGTAAATTGTGGTCAATGAATGTCATGAGACAAAGTGTATGTGAACTGCTGTATGGAAAGTGAATTTGCTCTGTAAATCTTCACCCAAATCACAATAAAAAAAAAAAAAAAACTGATGAGTGATACAGACGGACTAGATTCCAATCTCCTACCTCATACTAATAATACTAAATTATACTTTATGGATATGCTGTAACTTTGTAGTTGTTAAAATAGATATTTAACTAATTATATCTAATGACTGTTAGTGTTCTAGACTTGTATTTTAACTCTGATTTCTTCTTAACCATTCTGTTAGATGTAACATACCTTGGTATAAATACAAGCACACCATTTGTTCTAATTGAGTAAATAACACCATCAGATATGCACCGCTCCTCAGTTTCAGGGTCTCTGTCTTTAAAATACATGCACTGGAAAAGCTCAGTAGACTGCTTCTGAGAATGCTGTGCTGCCTGTAAGAAGAAGCACACCCAAAGCATGACACCAGACCCCTGGCGTGCCCAGAAGGAACAAGGAAGTCATGTCCCCATGGAAACACTGTCTTTAAAAAGGTTAGATTCCACAAAATTTTCAATACATAAACTATTTTATATTAGAAATTACATCAATTTTTTACTGGGAAACTATACATTATTATCCCCTCCAAAATGTCTAGAAAATAAATTC